AGGCTACCACCACCCAATACCATCACAATTTGCAAAACCATATCATTGGCATTGGAAAGAGAGAGAGAGGGAGGGTGAGGGGATTTCGATTATTTGTATTTATTTAAGAACTTTTGCACCACGTTCGGACACATGCCTGTCGGCTGCATTTATGTTGCCATTGCCTTCTTCTTGTTTATCTTTTAACTAGCAAGGATGAGTGGTTAATTATCCTGAGAAGCGTGGATGTTGATTGGCAAAATGAATGGGATGTTCATTGGCAAAGGGAAATTTAATTTGGAAATATTTGAATGAATATTTTGGAATAATGTAAGGGGTGATTTACCCATCGGTTCTAAAACACTTTAGAAGCCAAGGGAAAGGTTCCGTTTGTTTAGAACAATATTTTCTAGGGTTTAAGGATCGATTTTTATTTTCAGTAGAAAAATTTTGTGGGGAACTTAGGATAAATGGACATTTGAAAAAATGTCTTTGCATACTTGAAAGACTTCTGGAGGAACTTTGATGCATAGAATTAAATTTTAAAGGAAGTAAGAAATGATTCATTGATGAAGCGGCTGAATTTATTCAATTTTTAGTTTAATTGTCATAAGAGTGGTAATTTGTACCATAGGTGTACAACAACTACAAAATAGGTATATCTGGTTACCCTAAAATTTGCAACTATTGTTGCAAATTTTTACAGGATATCGTCTGTTAACACAAAAGATCTGCAAAAGAGAGCGATTTGAGAGAACAATTTTGAGAGTAAATTAACTGAGAGTTTCAATTCTTGTTGGACAAATTTCTTCTTGCAATCACTTGCAAACTACAGCTGGTTTGGTTGCAAAGTGGGCCAAAAACCTTGAAAATACTAAAATATGTCTCTAAGAAAATTTGGCTGCTACTCTCGGAGAAGAGATCAAAGCCGCTCATCTCCATGGCCATATCAGACCCAAAACTGGTGGTGGAGGTAATCACAGGTCACTGTAACATAAAGATCATGACATCTAAGTGACGACAACACCCATTGCTAAAGGGTCTGTCGAGATGAAGAGGAAACTGAAACGGTAGAACACTTACTCTGCTACTGTCCAATTCTTCATAGAATCACTTTCTGAGTCGATTTATGCATGCCAGTCCGTCCATGTATTCCTGTGAACAAAATTCAGTTCGTATATATTATCCGATTGACATGAAATTTTCCAAACAATATTTGAAATTGGTGAGAATTGGTTCGAATTTAAATATAGCTCCCATATATATCTTCAACCAATTTCGGGTTAATTGTGCACCAAATGGCCAATATCAGTCCAAATGACCTGAATTTTTGCACATCCGACCGAATTCATTCTAGAGGCAAGTACATTATGTTTATTGTATATACCAAACAACATTGCTATAGAGTGCATATCCCTTCGAAAATGGTTATAAATATATATCGGAACCGAGTTCCACACAATGGAAACGTACGTCCCGAAATTGAGTCTCCGACGAGTATTTCGTGGTGTTACAAATGGAATGCCAAAATATTTGCTTGGTTTGTTTTCCTTTATGGCGGGAACATTATTTTGTTTTGACAAATCAACTGATTGCTTTCAAGTTTTGTTTGTGGGGATTCCATCTTGTTCACTTCTCACCGTTTTCTTTTAAAAGAGAATTAAAATACTCTTACTCTCTCACAAAATAGTTGCCATACAATCAGCGGTGCTCAAGAAAAAATATCTCTTTCCAATCAAATTTCTCTTTGCTTATTTAAATCAAGAACAAAACAGTATTAAATCATTATTTATACAATTATTTTTTATCCATTTGCTTTATAAATTATTTTGGCAAACATTAATGTTTAAAAACAATTAAAAAGAATTCTAAAATATAAAAAAAACTGAATTTTAATTTTCCCTTAAATTATCTCTTTTTTCGACTCATGTTCTAGAACACGGTTTTGAGCACCGCTGCCATACAATTTGCCAAAATAATTTATAAAGCAAATGGATAAAAAATAATTGTATAAATAATGATTTAATACTGTTTTGTTCTTGATTTAAATAAGCAAAGAGAAATTTGATTGGAAAGAGATATTTTTTCTTGAGCACCGCTGATACAATTCAGGCGAAAAAATAAGCAGATAGAGCCAGTGATGCCAACATTTTGAGAGCTAAAAGCGTAATTAAAAACCAGAAAAGCGTAAATGGCGTAAAATTTTTCCTTAAAAAAGCGTAAAAAGCGCTATGTATTTTTTTTCTAACCAAAATTGTCAATAAAACACTTTTTTTTTAAACTAAATACTGTTTTATTCAAAAATTTAGATCGTATCTTATATAAACATTTCATTAAACAAACGTTGTTTTTATAAAAACAACAATAAAGAGATAAAGCCTGACCAATTTGCAACAACAAAATAAACATTTCATGTATATAAGCGCATACATATTTTTAAACAAGTAAAAAAGCAGTAAGTTCGGCCGGTCCGAACTTTGAATACCCTCCACCATTTAAAACGAATTAAGAAATTTACAAAAAAAAAAAAAATACATTAAAAATTCTGTTAAAATCTACAAAAATACCCAATATCGGAAGATGCCGATATATTGAGGATATACGATATTGTGGACCTTACCGACAATTCTATTTCAGGGGGTAAAGTACTCACAAAGAACTCCTTGTGTAGAATTGCAGACAATTCCATTGAAAAATGTGTCTTAAATCAACAACAACATATATAAATATTTCATGTATATAAGTGCATACATATTTTTAAAAAAATATGATATATTAGGAACATTTTACATGTGGTTAAAACTTGCAGACATACACATTTTTACAAACAATTATGTTCACCCATAAAACCCCTAGCTTCAAATTCAGTTGAAGTTTTGTAAACTCGTACAAGAAAGCAGCCATGTATAAACTTACGTTTTTTTCTCGTTCATTTCACTTTTCCTTCAATTGGTTTATAATACACAGAATTCTTCATTTTATTATGGTTTATTAAAAAAGAGTAAACAAAAGAACTTCAATGACAGGAATGACACGTAAAGAATTTGTAAAGAACTTGCGACAAGTAGATGTCATACTATCAAAATATTCGAATGTATAAACATTGTTACATTTAAAAATCTAGAACGCGCTAAAAGCACCAACAGAAAAGATGAAAAGCGTACGTACAGTGCTTTTTTTTCGTTTCGCGCTATGCCCACTATTTTGGCGTTTTAGGGGGTCTAAAAACCACCATAAATAGGGCGAAAAGCACTAAGTTGGCATCGCTGGATAGAGCTATGAAGATATTGTCATTTTTGCCAACAACAAAGCAAGGTCTGGAAATGGATTTTTCTGTTAACTTTACTAAGGGACATATAGAAAAATGTCTTCCAAGGACTTAAACTATTAAATATAATTGTCTCATTGGCTTTTTCTAAAGGAATTCCTCTCAGTGTATACTCACCATAAAACTTTCATAATTCTTCTTTATTCTCTCTTCTTTTTATTGTTTCGTAATATTAATATTAATTATTAATGTTTATGGAGCATTAATTGGCTTTTCATCTAATTGTTAATAAAAATGACTTTATTATCGTCGAACAAGGCATCAATGCCTTCATATCGTCATTATCAGCAATTCTGTATTTAAGTGATTTCGGAATACAGCCAAAACATCACTCGGCCATGTTGTCACATCTTGGGAACATAGAATTGAATTGGTCACAAAAGTTTTGATTTACAGATGTCATAATAAATTTCAATCAAAGTGGTGACAAATTGTTGTTGTTGCATAAATGATAAAACATTAATCACAACAAATATGAAGGGAGGTAGGGGAAAACACTGCATTAGGGAATATGGGAATATTCATGAATGAATTCTAAAAAAAAAAACAAAACAATTTGTTTATTGAATGTGCAGGTCTAATTACCCCTTTTTGGATGATGATGGTCCACACCAAAAAGAATTATTCAACTTCATTGTATTGTCCGAAATTCAAAGCCAATTAAGATTTTGATTTGACAATTAATCATTGAATGATAGACATGTTGAATGAATCTCAGTTCGGAACGTTATCATTACCGTTTTCTTGATGGCGATGACCGCTATGAAGATGTTTTTTAATTCCCTTTGACTGCCCCCTCTTTCACCATCATCTTTTGGAAAATAATTCTATTTCAATCCGTTCTTATTTTGTTTTCTCTTATTTCAGACGACCCACTCTTTCTTCTCTCTGAGATGAAATTTACATGATTTGGCAATAAATCATTTCAATTCACTTTATCATTCTCCCTCTCTTAAATCGGCTGGAGCATTGTGTTGTTGTTTTTTCTAGGCAATTTAAGTAGGGACAAATTGAAATTTAAGACATGTCTACACATAGACATATGTATGTATTGTGGGCTATTGAAATGGGTTGAGGGAAAAAGCAATCGGGATTAATTGCCCTTATTTGTTTAAATTGTAAAACAAAACGTTCGTAATGACCTTAGCTGTTGCGGTAGGCAATAAATAATCTTTTGATTTTACTGGTAGGAGATTAAAATAACAGCGGAATATTTTGTAGAAAATCACAAATTTCATAACCTAATCATGGTCATTCCGCCGTTCGCGGAAGCATAGCTGAGTGCTACCGGACGCGTCCACGGGTTGCGGATAGTGGGACACCCGGTAGATATATCGGGTAGCTGCGAATCAAATAAGCAGTCGCGGACAGCTCAGCGGTTTCTAGGGGGAGAGTCTCGGACTAAATACCCGAGTGCCCGTGATCCCTGGTCTCGACGAGGCGGCACTGGCGCCCCTAAACTATCCAGTCAACGGCCTGGTCCACCGTAACGGACCCCCTAATGCTGGGGTGTTACGTAAACCGTGCCCATCAGTATTCCAAGGTTTGCAGTCAGGGTACCGACTGTATTAGAACGGTTGCCTCGTCGATACCTGGGCGCCTCGACGAGTAACAGGCTTAGCTGCCAAGTCCTTACCATGATATGGAGGCTATGTCATGGCGGACCTCGTCACCTCCAATGTCCCGATAACCTATGGAGAAAATAATTAAACAAAAAGCAACAACAAAAACACAAACACTAACCGACAACCAATCAACCACCTCTTCGGAGGTGTCGACCCAGGACATGGCCATGGACAAGATTTTAACTTCGGGCGGGGACGTGACTCTGGAAACGTACAGAGACGTAGTATGTGAAAGCATACAGCGACAGAGTGAACAGCTGTCCGCCCTTCTAGAGAAGACCACTCTAAGACTCAGCCAAGAGAGTGTGCCCTCCGGTTTTGGGAATGACTCACCCCTCTCCGATGAGGAACTTGACGTCACCGTCATACCCTCATCTTTGAGGGGTGAGACAGCTACAAAAACTATAGAGAGCACTCAATCTGCTGCCATGGGGGGGTCAACTCATGTGGAAGGGGTTACATCGGTATCTACCGATGCGACCAACCTCCGGATCGAGGATGGCGTCGTGGAAAGGGACACTGAAGTTCCAACCAACCGCGATGCCTCCGGATCGAAGGAGGTAAAAATAAGGAAGGGTTACAAAAGGTCGGTGAGGTACTGTAAGAGCTTCATCGGTCGCGAACCCTTACAAATTACAGAGAGGGAAAAAGCCCTGATTAGGGTGAACATGAAGGCCATAAGGAAGTTCGAGAAGAACCATCCGGAAGTGCCTAAATGTACACTCGAAAAGGACCTTGCCTCTCTCTTTACAGCCCCCACTAACAAGGTAAATCCGTCTGAGGATAAGCCAACTAGTGGGGCTGGGGTGAAGGGCAACACCTCTCCCGGCGGTGGAAAGACAGCTTCGGCTGTTGCACCACCAACGGAATCAAGTGTAGCCCCCACCACTTCTAACTCAGGAAAACGGAGGAACAAAAGGAAGGACGCCCCTAACGGAAATTCTGCCCCAGTGGAACCAAAGGAGGCCAAATCCTCTTCTCGGGTAACGATGAAGAGAGGACGGTCAACGGAGGAACCACATCCCGAGGCAAAGAAACCGTTAACGGGCAAACCTCCTCCTCCGCCAACTGCGGCTTCTACGCCAGCAACTGTAGCTGGTAGGGAGGTTGTGGCAAGGCCGGTGCAAGCAGCCTTAGTGGACCCTAGGTCTGCTAATGCGAAGCCTGCAACCACCAACCCACAACCTTCAAGCCAGCCATCAAGAAAGAGAAAACACTCCCAAACCCTGTACCCGGACAATCTCCGTGTAGCGGTCATCGACCGAGCTGAGCCGGAAGGCAAAATCAGTGAAAGTCGGTGGCTTCTCATTGAGGACCGTCTGAGGGAACAGGTTTTCCTGGGGGAGGATCCTTCCAAGTTACAGTTTGGCAGTGCAACCGTCTACAAGGGAGTGAAGGTCATCTGCTGCGAAAATGAGGAGTCAAAGAACTTCCTCGTGACCGCAGTAGCTGGCCTTCAGGAACTTTGGGATGGAAGTGCACTTGCTGCTGTATCCCTGAAGGATATCCCCTGTAGGAGGATTTTAACAGCATGGGTGCCGCCGCCCTCTGTGGACCCGGCACGCGTGCTGATAATATTGGGGAAGCAGAATCCCAATCTCTGCACGGACGGCTGGCGCTTAGTTGGCTCAAGTACGGAGGGAGGGGGCCTGGTCATAAAGGTCTCTGTTGATACTGCTGGCCAGGAATACCTTCAGGCTCGTGGAGGGAAGTTGCACTTCGGCACAGGATGGATTCGGTTCCGTCTAACGCCGTCGTCGCAGTAGGAGAAACGAAGCCACAGCTGCTTAGCATTGTGCAGATTAACCTGCATCACTGCAAGGCAGCTGGGGCTGAGCTTCTCCTATCCCTCTCCAAGCTTGAAGTTGACATAGCCCTGGTCCAGGAACCTTATATTTTTAAGAATAAGGTAACTGGGCTAGGGAGTGAGCGGTACATCACCTATGCCACCTCCAATGGGGAAAAGGTTAGAACGTGTATCGTCGCAAAGAAAAACTTAAACTTAATCTTCCTTAACAATTTCAGCGGAGGAGACGCCACGGCGGTCAGACTGGAGACTAGGACGGGCAAAACACTATTCCTCGTCTCCCTGTACCTTCCCTTCGAGCACCCCGACCCACCAGGCCAAGTGGTAGAGGAGCTGATCTCAGTACTGGGTGGAAAAGGCGGACTCATCATTGGATGTGATGCAAACGCTCACCACTCTCAATGGGGCAGTAGTAACACCAATGCCAGAGGTGAGTACATTTTTGATTTTATCTTATCTCATAATCTCAAAATCTGTAACCGGGGAAAGGAGGCGACTTTTTGTATTAAGAATAGAGAGGAGGTCATAGATCTCACTCTCACTAACATGGATGAATCACTTATACTGAACTGGAAAGTTTCGACTGAGTGTTCCTTCTCGGATCACCGGAAAATAACATTCCAAATTTCGGTAGAGGGATTGAATCAAAAACCGCATAGGAACCCGAGAAGGGCTCGATGGAATCAATTTGCGGAGCATACCGCACGGATGCTTAAGTCCACTGGTGATTTTCCAGTGGCCTCTGCATCGGATGTGGACGACTCCGTCAAGTTGTTAACAAAGATCCTGATCGGCAGCTATGAAAGAGCCTGTCCGCTAACCTTCCCGGGTAAAAGGCACCAGCCTGTCTGGTGGTCGAAAGACCTAGCTCAGCTCAGGAAGACTAGCAGACGATTATACAATAAGGCCAACAAGACAAAACTGGGTACGGACTGGGAAGCTTATAAACTAGCCTTCAATAAGTACAACAGTGAGATCAAGAAGGCCAAGAGACGGTCTTGGGTGTGTTTCACCGAGTCCATAGATGATGTCAACGCAGCCTCCAGATTCCGTAGAGTACTTTCAAAGGACCCAAAATCCATTGGAAGTATAAAGCGGGCTGATGGTAGCTGGACTGACTCAGGTTTAGAGACTCTCAATCTATTAGCCAGTACTCACTTTCCGAACTGCTCTGATGCGGTATTTGACCGATTGGCAACACGGTCTAGTCAGCATAGTGGGACGGAAGATGTGAATCTGACTAATAGTATTGTTAACACCCCCAAGATTTTGTGGGCCATTAACTCATTCAAACCTTTTAAGTCACCGGGTCCAGATGGCATTATCCCCGCCATGCTACAGCATGCGTCGGCGGAGTTAATACCAGTCCTGGAGGTGATATTTAAGGCTTGTTTGCGTCTTTCTCACATCCCACTACTGTGGAGGGAAGTTACAGTCACTTACATTCCCAAAGCTGGGAAGCCAAGTCATGTTCTTCCAAAAGACTACAGGCCTATTAGTCTCTCGTCGTTTCTATTGAAAACGCTAGAGAGATTAATAGACATAGAGATCAGATCTCTAATACCCCTGACCTCTTTAAGCACTGCTCAGCACGCCTATATGAAAGGCAAATCTGTTGAGTCAGCGCAGCACGACGTCGTGGGTTATATAGAGAAGAACCTGAACAGCTCATGTTTCACGTTGGCGGCCTTCCTCGATATCGAGGGGGCCTTCAATAATGTTACATTAGAGGCAATTCACAGTTCTCTCGAAGGACTTAGTGTGCCACCACTTCTCGTCGACTGGATTGATGTTATGCTCAGCAGCAGAATCATCAACTCTAGCATCGGGGAGTGCTCTGTTAGGAAAACGGTCACTAGGGGTACTCCACAAGGAGGCGTTTTGTCACCACTGCTTTGGCTTCTGGTGATAAATAACATTCTACTTGATCTGGAACACAGCGGAACAAAGGTCGTGGCTTACGCCGACGATGTGGTCCTGCTGATTGCTGGGAGATTTCCGCAAACTATTACAGATCTTATGCAGGGAGCTCTGGTTAAACTCTCCAGATGGGCGCGCTGCAATGGTTTAGGCGTGAACCCATCTAAAACTGAGCTCGTACTTTTTACAAGGAGGCGGAAAATACCCGTCCTCTCTCTCCCAATGCTGGATGGTGTAACTCTAAGCCTTTCTTCGGAAGCAAAATATCTCGGTACCATTCTAGACCAGAAGTTAAGCTGGAAAAGGAATATCGAGGAGCGAGCGAAAAAGGGCTTAATTGCACTTTATTCCTGCAAGAACTCCATAGGAAAGAGTTGGGGGCTTAAACCCCATATTATCCGATGGATATATGAGTCAGTCGTCCGACCAATCCTAACCTATGGCGGACTTGTGTGGTGGCATTCCCTACGGAAAACCACCTTCAGCAAGAATATTGACAAAGTACAAAGAGTCGCATCGCTACTAATTACAGGAGCGGTCAGGAGCACGCCACAATCCGCTCTAGACACCCTACTCAACTTAAAGCCTTTAGGCTTATTTGTAGAGGAACTAGCTGCTAGGTGTGCCCTGCGACTCAACGAATTGGGACAATGGCGGAGTCAACCCTTCGGGCACTCTGTCATTCTTAAGTATGTGGAAAACGTAAGTAATCAGGCTATAGCTAGTGACTATATACTCCCTAGGCTCAGCTTTGATCTACTTGACATCCGTATACCAAACAGGGATATCTGGTCCCGTGGCACTCCACCTTTCGACGGTATAGCGGTCTATACTGATGGTTCAAAGATGGAAAGTGGAACGGGTGCTGGAGTCTACTGTGAAAGCCTAAGTATCCGAAGATCCTTCAAGCTAAACAGCGATTGCAGCGTTTTTCAGGCAGAAATTTTTGCTGTCAGAATGGCCATAGAACTGTTGAATAATAGAATTAACGAACGGGATGGACCGGTGACTATATATGTCGATAGTCAAGCGGCCCTAAAAGCTCTAAATTCTTTCACAATCAAGTCTATGACTGTTCTGGAGTGCAAGAATGCCCTGGAAAAGTTTAAGTCAGCTGTCAAGCTCTGTTGGGTCCCTGGGCACTGCAACATATCTGGCAATGAATCTGCCGATGAATTGGCCAGACGCGGATCTGAGTCAGTAGATCTAGAGATCGAGAGCTCAGTGAAGCCACCTTTATGCCACTTCTTTCAAGTTTTGCATAAACACTATCTTGGAAGATTTCAACAGAACTGGCTATCTGGAAGGGGATGCAACATCTCCAAAAAGATTTGGCCGGTGAACTCCGAACGGAGATCACGGTCACTCTTGTCCATGACGAAGTTGGACTTGAAGCTTGTGGTGGGCCTAATTACAGGTCATTGCAACATAAAGGCCATGACTTCAAAATGGGGGGGTGACGACACTGAATACTGCAGGCTATGTCAGGACGAGGAAGAAACAGAAACGGTGGAACACTTACTCTGTCATTGTCCTACCCTCATCGGAGTAAGACATAGGCTTCTGGGTAAGCACTTACTGCCTGACCTGTCATACCTCTCCGAAACAGAACCAGCAGTCATTCTTCAATTAGCCAGAAGACTAAAATGGCTAAGGACGACACGTTGATTACACCGTGGACGCAAACCCACTAGCTTCTCTAATTCTTCTAAATCCTATATTCTATACTAACTATCTTTCTTATCTCACTTCCACTTCTTTCTAGACTAGGATGATCACAATGGGCCAATAGGTCTCCGAGTGGAGTGGTTGTTGTTTTTACGCAACCACACATCCTTTAACCTAACCTATGGTCATTTGAAAGTATTTCATAATAGACCATATAAGTCCACATAAAATCCTTCAATATTTCTAAGGAGCCTTCAAAATATTTATTTGGGATATCTGAGAGGACTCCCCCAGCTTTTCGTTCGTGAAATATTTGCATAGTCTTTTGTGGATTTTGGAAGATCTGCACCACCAAAGTTTGAATATAATCATAGGATATTCAGGGTGAGATGAAAAAACTACAACCAACTACAAAAAGTTATTCGTGATGAAATTCAAGCGGGATAGTGTGATTTCTTTCTGATATTTGAATTTTCGGTTTTCTCCGATGAGAAAACATTCGTTGTCCAGCAGTTTTTTAACAAACAAAATGATCGTGTTTACTTGCCATAGAGGTCAGCTGAAAATGTGCACCTTCGGTTGGCCACCAGAACTCAAGCGCCGGTCATGGTGATGGTGTGGACCGTCCTAACAGCCGATGGTCGCTCTCCGCTAGTATTAATCGACCGTGGCATCAGAATAAATGCCGAATGTTATCGCGAAAATATTCTGGAGGGTGTTTTAAAGACTTGGGCACGCAAACATTTTGACCGCAGACCTTGTAAAGATCGAACCATTTTTCGGTTAAGCCGACTGATACTTTTTAAATGTTTAAATTTAAAAGGTTTGAAATAATTTATATTCCCTTTGAAAAATTGCCAATATATTCCCTCAGTGTCCCTTTACAACTCCCTTTCGTTACTTATTGCTCCAATTTAATACCATAATAAAGCATTTAGGTTCCCAAACTCCAAAACGACGCTGAAAAAAATAATCAATCAAAATTTGCCACAAAGCATAAAAGGAAAGTGGCAGAGAACCACCATATAAAAATAATTATCTTTAGAGGGATGGAGAACAGATGAAAACTGGGGGAAACAAATAAAAACACGACTCTGCTTAAGTAAAATTTGTATCAAATTACCCCTTCCCCTAGACATGGCCGTTGGTCAATTGGCTAGCTAAACAAACCACCCGCTTCTTGGCACCAACATCCATCACCTAAACTGACCATCAACTGACCAAATTATGTTGACCATGCGTCAATTCATGGGAGATTAATAAAATTCCCATTAAAGTCGAATTGAGGAGATGTTGTCGGCGATGATGATGATGATGATGGTACGGAGATAATTCCTTTGTTTTAGTTTTAGATCAAACATCAAAAATGTGGGGTATGCAAACGTCCATCAAAAATGGCCAGCAGACAAATAGTTGTGGCTCGAGAGCAGATGACCAATAAAAATGGCTGGCGTTGGGACATAAATGTCAATCATTTATGGGAATGGCTGAGACGGGATGATGATGATGTGATGATCTGATGGCGTGTTGGATAGTTATGTCCCAATTGGAATTGTTTTTCTTAAAGCCCTTAAAAGAAAAGCGATTTGTATAGCATTTTAAAATATTCTTAAGATTCAAGAGTAACTTAAATTTCTGGCAAGTTATGCAATCTTCCCAGCAAGTCCGCACCATTTCCTAGTCCTTTCCTGTTTGTCTTTCCTTAATTTTTCGATTTGTATGTCAGTAATGAACCTGTT